AATATCAGTAAAACTAAAAATACTACTATTCTAACATAAATATCTACAGATAAAATGCTTTGGAAAGGATTTCGGGTCAAAAAACGTTTTTTCTTGGCATAGGGGAAGAAAATAGAAACATCCAGCGTGAGAAACTAGGTCGTGAGTAATTTCCCGTGACGTGCATGCACTTGTTTTGCTTAACTGCCACCCCACTACCCGCTGCAGCTGGTGGAGGAGCCGGGCGCTCGTCGAGCGTGACGCAAACGAAGCAAGAAGCAAGCCAAGGGCGAAGATTTAATAAGCCACCTTTCGGATACCTCGAGGATACGAAGCGCAAGGTGAAACACACAACGCGAGACACAATCGAAAGGAAGCCGCTAAGCTTGCAACCTAAACTCTGGAAGACAATGTATCTCCTGCCGGGTATGCATTATTCATATTCCTAAATAAATACCAACCGTAGAGAGGAAAATATACGTTCTGGTATTATCAGCAGCAAGGACATCAATTTACATCCGTCATTATATGAAAATTCAACGAAAATAAAAACATCTCCATGGAAATTGTTTTAATTATTAGTGGAATTGTTGATGATGAAATTTCTCATGCGGAAATATAATAATTAGTTATTGATAAATGATAGCGCCACTCCGAAGTGGCAAACTCGTGCGGTGGAGATAATTGGCAAAACCGACACTCGGCCAGAACTGATTATTAGTCATTAGGCATCGATAGTTGTATCCGGGATTTCAATGCCTCGCCTAAATACGCAATTATGACGATACATGTATCATCAACTTGAGATTCAATTAATTATTTCACACGACGCCGAAATCAATTTAATACAATAATTTACGATCGAAATACATAAAAATTTTAGTATTACACGCTGCGCTATGAATTTGTTATGTATAATGTGAATTTTGCTAATTTACGACCAATTTGAATTCGGTGTTAATGGCCATTGTAAATTGTTGTACGTGCGCGGGGGCGGTGGTAAGGGACGATTTGTTGATTGTCTCATTCTAATACGGATTTGGTGCATAAAAGCGCCGCGGACCAATCGTGCGCGCACTCGCGGTCGCAACATAATGATAAAAACAAATTGCCGCGACGCGCAAACAGCGATTTCGGTCGCGAATGCGTTAAACGCACCATTAAACGCTTTCCAAACGAGCGCTGCGTTCTAATTACTTGATTAACGATTATATTCTACTGGATAGATTCGACCGAATATAAATTACACGCGTTGATAGAGAGATACGTTTCACGCGGCATTAATTATAATCACAAATAAAATTATTGTGTGATATACAAGCTGTAGAATCAAAAAATTTAAAAATTCTAAAAAAATTTTTTCTACTTTTTTCATGGTTTTGAAGCATAAAAAGTGGTAATTTAATCACGGATAGCCAAAAACGTGGGTTAAGTACTTTAGTCACGGGTTTTAGTCACGTGGTGGAGCTTGCGCCTGCGCATAAAGTGAAAGTAGAAAAAATAGCGTTAGCATCACATCGCTCAACGTGTTTAAAGTGCAACTTAGCGCACTTGATGTTTAATATACAAATATTTAGACTTTTTAATGTCCCATATAAAACTTTATTAATATTGTTATTATTTTGATGTGTTTTTCTTCCATCTGAGAAAAACATTCGCACATCGTTGTTTAAAAAACGACAAAGTTATAAATTTGATGCGTTTCGCACGTTTTACGAACATTTTTGTTGCATATATATTTTTTGGCGTATGCCTAATGGAAAGTATGTATTATCGTAAAAATTTACGATTTTGCATTTTCGTTAAAATTTCAGCTCGTGCGCGCGTTGTGGCCTCGAAATCGATCGCGCTCATTTTTCAGCGCGCCACACGCGGCCCGCATCGATGGAAAAATGACGAAAAAGGAAGCGAGGAAAACCGAACGAACTTTAAATATATCGTCAATTTATCTCCGTGTTAACAGTAATTTTATCGGCCATCAATCTTGTCGCGACGCGGCACTGCGAGCGAAAATATTCTGCGGTCGCTCGCTCGATATATTTCCTCGCGACGCGTCGAAAGTTCAGACATTCAGATCGAGTGTAAACACGAAAAAAAGCATCCGATGATTTTTCACCGCGTTTAAATCGATTTATAATCATGTAAACACATACGCAAGCATTTTTTTATTATAGTGTTTAACCTCTGGAGGGAAAAACGTGTAGGAAAAGAAGACGACAAGTATAATACCGTGATTAAAAGAGTTTTTGTTGTCGTGTTCATCTCGAAAGAGTCGAGAATGAAGTTGGTTTTCCGCGCACGTCTCGACAATGCGTTGTTATCCCGCTAGATAAATCTAGATCGCAGTGTCCAGAATGTCCATGCGCAAGATGGCGCGCTCATTCGTTCATATTTTGCACGTTCTGCTGAAACACCTAACAAAAATCCCAACGAAACGCTTCGTAATTCTTTGCGCTCGCTTGCCTGTTCTCCGTTTTTATACAGTGCTCATGGCCCGAGCAATTTCTGCAAACGCATATAACTAACTCGTGAATGTTGCGAACGCCCACGACATAACAAAGACTTTCGCTTCTTCCTCGCGCAGAGTTCTTTGTTATTTTTCGGCTCTCGCTTGGTATTTCGGTGTTTTCTTTATTTTTCCTGCGTGCAGAATGTCAAGTTGCTTTTCATGCGCTCGAGTAATCCACTTTGTGGTTAGCAGAATGTTCTATGCACCTACACCAGTAGGAAGTGCTGGCATAAAGAAGAGACAACATAGTGGGTAAAGTTGTGGGGGTGGCGCGAAGAAATGGTCGGAATTGCGTCGAGGAGTTGGGAAATTCCCCCGATGGGAAATCTCGTTGCGGACACGTTTGAATCGGTCTAATCTCACCACCACGGATGATCTCACCACACAAATACTACCAGTTTATAGTATCAAACATAGAAGACATCCAAAACATCCAAATCATTAAAAAATCAAAAGTAAAAAAAAGAGTTGAATGAGCAGTTCCTAGATCTTCTTCCAAGGAGATAGTTTGAAGGGACCTTAGAGAGTGCTTCTGGTGATACAACCTGGGTGGGGTTTTAGAGGTGGTAGAGGATGGATGTTATGGTTCCAAGGGAGTCCGGTTACTTTCTCTGCCAGCTAAGGTGCTGGCTTGGTGCTCGGTGCATGATGCCGTTCGCATCTTGTTAGTCTTCTGTTAGTCTCCGCTTTGACACTTTGGCGGTCCCGGAGGTGTAATTGAGATTTATTGATTAGGGCCTCGGCGCGCTTGCATAAATAAGAAAAGTTTACTTATTTATGAAATATTGATGAAGTCTCTGCCAGGAAACACAACAAGGACCGTCACTTCCGCACCTACACCAGAGAAACACGAGGAAGAGAACTGGGGTAGGATGCAAAGTCTTTGGTGGCGTTATTTAACAGGATATATTATGATAGATTACACCCTGTGACTTGTCCGGTAACTTTTGAGGTTTAGATAATGTTCAAACTATTGGTATCATGTTGCTTTTGTTGATAGGTTATAAAGGTTAAAGTTTAACCATTTTATAGTTGGTTTTAATTATCTTTCTACTTTTATCTTTAAAATGTCACTTTTTCTACGGTTTTGATATGTGAAAAATGGTAATTTAATCTCGGATAGTCAAAGTCGTGATTAAAGTACTTTAGTCATGGGTTTTAGTCATAGGTCTTACACGTTGTTAAAGTGTCACTTTGCGCACTTGATATTTAATATACTATTCCAAAACGAAGTAAAACAGATTTAAAATTGTAAAACGTAAATATTAGAAAAAAATGAGAAAAAAATTTTACATAAAGAAAAATCTATAACATGGTAAATTATTTTGTATGCACGACGACACCTCCCGTGCAGTCTGCATTTCATCCCGTCGAAATCCTTGATAAATGAGAGACGATCAATTTGTGCACGTCTTGTTGTCTAACAAAATATACAGTGTGTTTGAAAAAATTACAAATTTCACATTTTTTCTTTCTAAAATTTTCTTTAAAAATTACTTGGTTTCTGATTAGTACTACTTTAGGTTACTTTACACGATAAATAATTGAAACCATAATTAACGGTCTGTAAACAATCACTTTGTAAACCTCTTGGATTTCTATCCTAGGTCGTATATTACGGTTAGTAATACCCGGCGTTTGGCGTGGCGTCGGCGTACATGACCGGAAAATTCCCCGCGTCACGGAAAGACGATATTTATATTATATTCATCATACATGTGCCGCCGCCGCCGCCGCCGCCGCCATAACCCGTCTGAACTCAAAACTCTTTTGTTTTCGCTTCCTTATCTTTAGCGTCAGTCTAGTTTTTTTCCTGCGCTTTGTGAAACGATTTCTTTGTCTCGGAAACACCAACCAACATACCAACATAAATTTCCTTCACTCCTAGCAATCTTCCTTATTGTACAAGTTCAAGCAAACACGTCAAATAACTTTTTTTTCCAATACAAAATAAAATTTTGCAATTACCAATGGCGTGAACATAAAATGCAATTATAAAGCTTCACGAACAATAGGAATATTATGTTATTACGAACTATAAAACGCAGTTTAAAATACTGATTAGTTTCGCACATAAAATATCGTAGTTAAAACCGTTAAAATGCTAATCGCGGCGAAAATAAAGTTGACAATAACGCGTAACGGCGCTATAAAACCCGCGCAAAAGAATTGAAAAAAAGCGCAAACGTCGTGATATAACCACCATGGAAATTACACCACGCGGTGCTCTATAATTAGCCGCAATAATTTACGAATTTATCATTCCATCACGCGCCAGCCAGCCCCGCACGCAGACGATAAGGGAATCGTCATTTTGTCGCCGTGGAACGTATCGCACGCGCATGGCATTAAGTAAATTGAATTAAAATTGTTATGTTTACTTTGACGTCGCGATAGCTTGAATCGCATGCGGCGGGAATTCATAATTCCAATGAAAAATGCAAGAGAGAATCGATTCACACGCGACGTCATCAAATATTGATTAAATATTAAATTTTTATGCCTTAAATACCTGTAAATCGGCGTGTGTTCGTCTTTGTACCAAACGACGAGGACGACACTGTCGTTGGGCGCCGGAGGTGTCAAATCACAAGGTAATAGAGCTGTTCCACGGACAATTGCTTGCACATGAGCGACAACACCACCTGAAAATCAGAAAAGAGAAAAATTAGTTCATGAAAATTATTCTTGGAAAAATTGATTTATTCGATGAAAAAAAAGCATTTTATATTAGGTTTTCCGTCATGTTTGCTGTGGGCGAACAAATCTTTTCGTGCAGTACAGCGGGAAAATTGTAATTTTGTCAAAACAGCGCGCCGCCCACTGAAACAACGTTTCCTCCTCGAGCAAAAAGTGATGTTTACGCTTATTGAAAAACCTGAAGTGCCTCTAGGCGCACGAGAGAGTCGAATTTCAGCGCTGTACGCTTGTCAGATTTCTTATAAATAATTTAGTAATGACTTATCGGAAAATGAAACAAATATGAACAAGAACAACTCGACAAAAACAAATTTTTTATATCAGGTCAAGTGTACAATATAAAAATATGATTTTTGAATGTTTGAATGACAAAACAAAAATAACTGAAAGTTTAGCTTTAATCATTTTGTTTCCGTGAAGTCTCGGGAGGTTTTTGATGTGATCTCGTCGCTAATGTTTGCAAAAATGTTGGAAAACGCTGGAAAACATATATCAATCAGTGCGGGTGCGCGCCTCAGTGGCTGGAAAACGTGGTGAAAATGTTCACGGCGAGGGAAAACGCAGTGGAAAGGAAACATATTGCGGCGCGGCAAGATGAGGAAGCGTTATTATTGCCAGTTAGGCGCGGATGTGGAAAGGCAAAAAGGAAGAGAAAACGTAATTCCGACGCTCAATTAATTTTTACTCAAACAGCATACAGCGCGGATGGATGCAGCTGATATAAAGTTATAACCGCTTAATTTCACCTCGGCCGGATGAAATCCTCAACGCGATTACATTTTTCATTCCATCACAATTTCCAAAAAAAGAAATATTCTGCATCCGATAATATTATTTTAGGCAAATATTTTTAATATACTCAAAACAGTCAAATCCAGTTGTTTTCGATTGCGCGTTTCAATTAAAAAGTCAAAAAAAACTAGATTAAAATTTCCGGCGTCAAAAGCCCTCCATTTTGCAAACACACATCCACTGGCGGCTTACCACTCAATTGAAAATTCCGAAAAACACGGCGCGGAAAAAAATCACTTCGTCAAAACTGCGCAGAAACGGATTCATTTTCGCAATTCAATTGGATACAAAAACATGACCGGAAGTACACAGTTGAAGCACACGAATTTAATCCATTTTAGTTGATGGTAGTGCATTTCTGGTTGGGTTTAATGATAATGATGCACTTTAAATTTTGAATATTGCACAACTTGGATGTTAGTCGGGCGCCGGAGTCGGTGTGTGTTGTATTCTGCGCCTTAGATTAATTAAATCATTCGCTGCGTTTCCGTCGCGGAATATACACCGCTTGCTCTACATAAACAATACATTAAATTGCTTGCGAAATTGTTTCGCGGCTGAGCGTTAAGCAAGCGCGCGCGCTAAGTCCACTCGGAATTTATTTGCTTTGGTCGGCGGCTGCACCGGCGTCGAAATTGAGAGCGTCGACCAGATGAATGTGCGCTTGCCTCGGTTGTAGTGTTATATGTTATAATGACTATATACTAAACTAATGCATACATAAATTCAATCTTAAAATATGAAACAATCTCAGAAATAAATTTTTCTATTACCACCAATAAAGCGTTTTCCACAGTTTTAGGCACAAAAGTGGCACTTTATATACGGACTATTAAGCCTTGAGTAATATACATTATCTACGGACATTATTTACGGGTGGAGCTTACGCATGCGCATTTGCCTTCGGAGCGGCACAAGCTCCATACAAAACTTAACGTGGAACTAGAGTGAAAGTTAAAAAATAGCGTAAACATCACGTAGCTAAACGTTGTTAAACACTCAATAGCTTAAATGCTCGCTACACTTGTTCTCAATCAATCTCGTGAGTAAAGTCTCCGTTTACCCACTTAATACTTAATATACTATCACTTTTGATCAAAAAACAATTGAAATATTGAATATTTCTTCTCCAAAAATTAAAATTTTTATCCTTCGGGGCAAAGCAGACAGTTTATAATTAAAAAAATAATCCACATACGCTCTCATCGCTTTTAATCTACTTTAATGCGGCGGCGGCGGCTGGATATCCTCCCGCCGGTCGGGGCTAATGCGCCTCTCCTCTAATAATTGTAATTTATTTAATTTTCTTCGTGCGCGCTCGCATGTCGCCGCTCGCGGCCGCGACTGCATGAATAATTAATTACGTAATTTAATTAAAAAATCCAATATAATATACCTGGACCGGCACACTCATACCTCCGGTGTACGTTTGTGTAATAATGCTGCCGCATCGCGCACAATAACTCATTGTGCTATTTTCTACGAGCGCGCGCGCACTTCGACCTAATAAAGCAAATTCACGTGGAGCAGCGCGGAATTACGTGCGGCAAATAATTAACCCTTTTCTCCAAGCGGCACATGGACATACGAGAAAAAGTATTGATTGGGTTCTTTACTATTAAGATTAAAATAGAATTTATTGACAAACGGAGCGGAAATTGAGTTATTAAGGTGCTCAATTGCTTGGAAAAGATTATATAACAACAAATAAGCAAATAAAATTATACACCTCTTGGAATTATATTTTTATAATGTTAAAAGTCATAGTTTCAGGTAGAAAAATTTATTTTTTAAATTTTTTATCTAATTTTTCTTCATTTTAACTTTTAACCCTTAATTTACACCCTTCAGAAACAAATTTTTAAATAATTAATCCTTTCATATCTTCTTCCAACTCATAATCTATCATTATACCAAATTTCATAAAATTTGTTCAAGTCGTTTCATCATTAAAAGAAAACAAACATACATAATCACTTTTGTATACATAATATTACACTACGCTTTCAAATTTTAACCTTATGCTGGGATTATGTGGAGTCTTAACATATGTGGGTTTTGTTTGATGCACCGAAAACAAAACTACTCCATCCGCCTGCCAGTCTCTTAGTCCTCTGTCAGTTTGAGTTAAGGACGAATTCCGCTGAACACGTTCCATTTCCTGACTTGTTCCTGAGCTGGCGCTCGCGCGCTTTCTTTCCTTTTTGTGTGCACGTACGCGTATTCATTATAATCCCGCGCCGGGCGGACCTTGGACCGAAATGACAAGAATGACAAGAATCCTAGTAAAACATTCAGTAATGTCTAGATTGGGTTGCGCGCACCGAGGATACATCAAGGATATACAGCGCGCAAGCACTACAACTCCGCCAGGACGATCCTTTTTCATTATGCATAACATGGGTTGCGAAAGGGGTTGAGATAGTTTCCTTTTATAAATTGAGCTGCTTGTTTTTACCCGGCTTTGTTTTGAAATGGGACTTATTTGTGAGTGAGAATGAGGTCAAACGAAGGTCAAGCAAGTGTTGTATGTTGCTTTTTCTAACCACACATTAAATTAAACAGATTTGTGAGAGATTATAAAGTGTCGCTTATCTAAAAATAGCTAAAATATGCACGTTTTGAAATTTGGACCGGCGGATAAAATATGTGAAAAATTGCCCCGGCAGGTTGGCAACCCACTACGCACTCACACACAGAGTTGCCTACGCGGTACGTAACCCGCTGCGCGCCGGGTTTGGAAATTTCCATATGAATGCGATTAGAATAAATGGGACGTGACGGTAACACATCCTTAATATTAGAATTTGCATGTCGGTGGCGCGGTGGCTGTTGCGCTCCCGGCCGGCCAGCAACCGGAGGTGGCATTTTAAATTTAAAATAGTCAAACGCCGCTGCGCCCGAAATAAAATGAAATAAAATAAAATAAAAGGAGCGGAAACCGTTTTACGTACATGCACAAAACATGTATATGTGGTTGCCTATATATTCGTATGTTAATAAATTACTGGTCTACCGACATGCGGTCGACAACTCTGCGGTATTTTCCAATTTTACAATTTAGCAATTCTATTTTGACATGGTGATGCATTAAATCACAGCGATTCAATTTCCTTGTTATGTTCATTGGTGAGAGTAATGTGATATAGATGGCGTTGTAGTTTTTGCTTTACAATCAAAGAAACACCTTTGTAGTTCTCTTCAGGTTCTTGAGCAGGTACGGTACATTACGTAGATTAAAGGACAATGTATTCGCCGGGTATTGTCAGGGAGTGCTTCCGTGTTCGCATCGTACATAACAATAATCTCGGCAGCGCGGACTCGTCGCCATTCTTCATAATTAAACGCTTTGTCTGCCGCCGCTCGATGAGGCGCGCGCGTGTCGCTTTGTCTTCCACGCTCTTTTCCATTCTGCTTTTACGAGCGGCGTAGAGATTTCGCACCTAACCTGGCATTTAATATGGCGGCGGAAGCGGAATGTTTGCGTCTTGCATTATTCGCGCTAATTGCTAACGTCATACCTTCCAAGTGATACCATTCCAAGATGAGATTACGTACGTATACAGAGTGTGTACATAAATAAACAAAACAACAAAAATTTTAGCGTCTAGAACAGGTTATGTTTTAGTTGATGCGGTTAGATGTTAATTTGGTTGCATATGCATGGTGTACATGTGTCTGTAGGTATTGTACAAGGTTCCACCATTTGCCACCATTTGCATACGTAATGCGCCCTCTCTCGGGGATTTGGTTAAAATGCAGATACGCTCTCAGCAATGATATCTCCGGCGCGCGTAATGAATTGAGATTTTGTTATTGCTGCATAATGCTTTCATTCCACGCGCCACGCCGGGTGCTGTGTGTTGTTCTTCCGGTAAAGCAAAGGTCCTCTTGCACACGAACAATGTCCTCCCGACGGCGACAAGGTCTTTACCAATGGCGCGGGGACTATGGCTTATTCGGCGAAACGTTAAATTGCCGCCTTCCTGCATCCGTTATTAACGCCGTTTATTAAATATTCCGACGGGCCGACGTTTTCTGGCGCGGAGGAAGCGCGCTTCCCTAACCTTTCCCGCCGCATTAAATATCTTATTATCGCTGATACGGCGCGCCGCCGCCTTTGTGTTGCCAGCGCGCCGCGCAGGAAAATAAT